CACAAGTGTCTGTGGTGTGGATCGAACGCGCTATTACCCTTGAAGGGGATTAACGCGTTCGCCACCCCACCATGCGGGTCCTTCGTTTGGCCTTTCTCTTAGTTTTCTTTCTAATGTGTGTTAGTTTGTTAATGTTTTTCTATATAATCTGTGTGTGAAAACGTAGTGCTTTCTTTCCCTGTTTTTAACCATTTGGGGAAAAAGAAAACAGCGGAGAGAAAGGCGAAACGGACGATCCGCATAATGCAGTGGTGAACACGTTAGTCTCGGAAAGGGTATTATCAGGTTCGATACCCGCCGCAGACACCTGAGGTTCAGAGTTTTGCAAATATCTCAGCATCATTGTGGTTATTAATAACGAATTTAGAGAAACCATCCTACTTTAATGGATAAAATATTGCTTCTTCATTAGGATTTATTTTCGTAAAACGAGCCTCGAAGAATAGAATTACAAAAGTAAGTGCGATTTCTGGACACCTCAAAATCAGAATTTCATCTCAGTGGAATAAAAGATTTGGTGTACTATTAACGAAGATTTTTAAACACTTGTGCTACTTATCCTCCCAATGGTTTACCGCCTCATCGGGGCTGGGAAGAGTTCCTGGATGTCGGACTGCGATGAACAGCGGGGTATTCATCCCTTGACAGGATCTCCCAAGCCGGAAGAGGTTTGTCTGGAAGCCTGGCTAAGAGTAAACCAATACCAGAGCCCATCGCTGTCCTGGTATCAAAGTCGGATGGTGGCAAATGTCCCTCTGATCCATAAGGGATGCGACTGCCTGGAGTGGTGAAGATCTCGGACAGACTTTGGCCAGGCTGACCTCGGAATTCCAGGAAACCACGGCTTAACCAGCAGATCTCCGAAAAATGGAGATTATGCTAGGGTCCGTACAAGCAGTGAGGACTGGCCATTTAATTATCAAGTGATTCTTGTATGTTTACCTCAGGCTAAAATATGGCGACTTAGGTCTGAAAGCGGCCATTATTATTTTGTGAGTGGAAATGAATTCATGACAGGCTTTAGGCGGTTATGCTACTGCATTGTCATTTTTTTAAAATGAGGGAAGTTTTATCTAATGCGAAGACAGGGTAGGTTAAAGCGCCCTTCTTACCTTGCTGGAAAATCTCAACGATCTCGTCCACTAATTTTCCCAGAAACATTCCTCGAGCATTGGTGCTTCGTCACATATAAACATATACATATTATAATATATATTTATAATATATATTGTTTAAAAGAACTACTTGTTCTTCATGGAATAGACAACAATTGAGACACTTTCTTTGTTGGGCGCATTAAGAAAGGTAGAACTTCGACTACGACTCAGCCCTTGGAATTCACGCGAACAATTTTGTAAGAATGGATTAGCAATTCTGTGACCTCACTTACTTGAAGGTCTAGAAGGTGGAAGAGCATCTTTTTCATAGTAAAACTGGTAGTTTTCAAAATTTCCAGAACTGTCGATCATTGCCAGTTGATAAGGATTCATAGGCATTGTGGAGACTTCAGTGTTCATCTCCTCAAGTGGATACGTTCCTGGTGGTTGGACTTGTGGAAGGTCAGGTTTAGCCATCACCACCGGAATAAAGAGGACTATGAAGGCCTTCATACCTGTAAAAATATTGAAGCAGTGTTATTTTTCTAAACACAAAAACTGTCGCGATCAGAATAGGCTAACTACAGAACAAGTCTGCAATGGCTTATGGAGGATCAAGTCGAAACAGATACATCCTCTTTCTACAGTCGCACAGAAATGCGGCAAAAATCAGAGCCATTTGCGACGTGGTTCACCGTTTTATGACATCCAGCAATTGTCTTGCAACTGTGGTATAGAACGAAAGGCTCAAATCTGGACTATTTTATTGTATGGAGACTTGATTTTACTAGGATGCTTCGTTTTTATACAGTAGCTGGCTGGGTTGTTAGCCATAAACAGGTTATGAATGGCCTCATTGACGTAGTCTATACTATATCTGGCCAGTCAATAATGCCCTGTGTTATCTGATCTCAAGTTAATGAACTATTGAGTGACTTAAATCCTGCTGCGGCACAGCTAACCTGCTGCGGCACAGCTAATGTTTATTAATGAAGAACCCAATATTAAACTGAACCTCTGCTGAAGTTCAGTGTTATCAGTTAACAAGTTATCACTTAGAAAAGCCAAAAGTTACTATCTTTATGTTACCGGCTTCCATATCATATTGCTTTGATCGATGTGTTCACCAGTGACGGTCTTTTATCCAAACCTTTAAGGCTTTTAAGTGAACTTCCAGGAAACGTTGTTCAATAAAATACTAAATAAAACGACCCCACATCTGACTTGAAAGTGAACTTCTGAACAGACCGCATGGGAAGAAGAAAACAATGAACATGGAAAAAGCAGTAATTTCTAATACGGGGACTGTATTACCACGAATTTGACTTTGCCATGTATATCATGAAGAACGAAAAAGCAATTGCATGAACCACTGCTTATCATAGCCAATTTTTTAAACATTCTGTAGAAGAAATAGGTTATTAGATTCATGTCGAGGTGACTATTATATTACCGAGTTGACAGATACGGCGAACAGTATTCATACGCTTAAATGACTAATCTCTAACACTTGTCAGGTGATGAAGTAAGAAAGGCTAAAGGAAAACAGAAAAAGATTTCCTTGATTGACCAAGATTTTAGGATTGTTTCGTAATTATAAACTTCACGGGGTTGTCACAAAACTTTACTGTGGCTGACACTTCTACGCCTTCGACCTCTTCAGACCCTCTCGCAGTGGGAAGGAGTCCCGAAACATTAGCCACAATGAAGTTTTCTGACAGTCTCTTGTTAGCTTACGAATAGAGAAAACTTCCATTATTAATGCTGAAATTGAATGGAGGTTGGTTTCCAAACTTAAGCACCCAGTGTTTCTGTATGTATTTATACCAACACTAGCTTCTAAAATTTCTCCTGTCCCCCAATTTGTGGTGGTTGCATCAACAAGTGTTCCAAATGTCTATGAGTAACTGTTTTTTGGTTGTTTTAAGAAACAATTTAAAAATTTTGGAAAAAACAGTAAATTCTTGTGATTAATTAGAAAATGAGAAAATGCGTCTCAATGGCTTACCTCCTAATCGTGGCTGGGAGGTACTCCTAGGTGTCAGGCTGCGATGCACAGCGGTGGCATTCTTTCCCGGCAGGGTCACCCAAGCTGAGAAATATTTGACGCTTCCATCAGAAGTCCCAGCTAAGAGTAAACCGCTATCAGGATCCACCACGGTTTTGGTACCAAACTAGTCGCCAGTCTCCCTCTGATCCACAACGGCGATGATTGCTTGAGGTGGTGACGACCTGAGGCAGGCTTTGGCCAGGCTAAGCTCGCGTCTCCAGGGAAATACAACGGCTAAACCAGCAAAACTCCGAAAAATAGAGAATATATGCTGGGGCCTGTACAACTAATGAGGCCTGGCCGTCCAAATAATTATCCAAGTAATTAGAAAATGAATTTTCTACGGTTTGAATAGAAAACTGGATCCAATTGACATCCCAGAATCAAAATCTGGAGCAGTTCATGATGTTTCTACCTTTTAATTCCGACTTATTTAAGCAGTTATGGCGCCATCAACAACAACAACAAGGCATTTCAGTGTCAGATCTCTAGATTAGCAAAGGGAAAACGATGAATGACAGCTCCGTTTGCAGGTTGTGCTAATTAAATCAGTAATTCGATCAGTACGGTAAAGTCTGATTCGTAAAGAGAGCAAAACTGCATGTCGAACGCCAGAGTGCTAGCTGAAACGAACAAGATGGTTCAATCTCCTGTCAAAGGGCTCTTGAGTATGGAGAAGGCCTTCTCAGACATTCTCACTCCTTTGTGCATGGTAAAATTTCCTTGTTTTGAAACTTTATTAGTTAGTCGACAACGATAGTAATATTATGACGATGCTGTAGAAGAATGATCTAGAAGTAATCAAGTATAAGCAAATTATTAAATTATAAGGATGTTAACTAGAGGAAGGGAGACACTCAAACCTCTACCAAAGGGGTTTTGTATATTAAAAGCGAAGCCTTCTCAGGCACTTCCATCCCTAGATGAAACGATTAATTTTTGTGATAGTGTATTAGTGACAAAAACAAGAACGATAACGATATCCTCATAACCCGTAAGAAAATGATTTCAGTGTTGATGGTCGAGGATAAGATGTAGAGTGAGTGATAGCCGATCCGGAATCGGTAGGGATAATGAGAAAGAAAACTACAACAACAATCACTTGTCATGAACGGACGCATGACCACAACACAGTAGACGGGATCCTGAAACATAGCGAAGCTATCGGCTTAATATGCAGATGTTGAAGGGCCGGCTTCACACAATGACTGTTAAGAGAAGAAAATAACGTGAAATGGAGCGATAAAAATAATTGCTTACTAAACACTAGACTGGCGCACGATTTCATTTTTTGTACTTCGTTCCACAGCTTCGGTGTGGGAAACCAGACGATGCATAGCATACCGTTGGCCCATTTAAAGGTTCTGATTTGCAACGCTTATGTACTGTACCTGTCTTACTGAGAATATCCGCTAAAATGTATCAAAATGGTAGTTTTCGTTCAAACCGTTGAAGATGTAACTTGCAGGCATGTTCGAACGAATGACACTACTCATGAGATATTGAAAAATTATAAACTGGATTGAAGGGACGTCGTGTGTAAGCATAATGAAGGCGCTGTTATTATAGCCTATGAATGCACAAAAATCATTGATCGGTATCTCTTCCACACTTTCAGTGATAAGCTAAAGAGATAAAACATTAAGAATTAAAGTAGGGTGAGATGAAAGTCTGTAAAGAGACCAATACATATTTGATCATATACGGGGTGTATCACCTACATGAAGCTTGGTTAGCAGAAGGTCATCTCAGAAAACGATAGTGCCTCATTGAAAATACTGAATGCAGCAGGGAAATGGTAGCAATGAAGCCTAATATTATTTGTTCTACTAGCTTCCTTTTGTTAACAGGGCAAAATCTTTAGATACCAGCAAATATTGAATGAACATGCCACCTAAATCGAAGAATGTTTTGGACGCTTCAAAAGAAAGCGATTTAGGAACCATGAGGAATGTTCGGCGATCATAAGATAAAACGGAAATCAACTCTCGATAAAAACGTGTTTCATTATGAAGTGGATCGGCAAGACGTGACAAGCCCGATCGGGTGCGGTTGCCTCGTGAAAGCGTGGAGACAATGCAGTCGAGTAGAAAACGATCGCGGATCGTCCCTCCATCAACTTATGCAACCAGCACGTCAGCCGAACCTGTAAAATTTATCTCTTCACTTTTCGCCTTTCCTTTATTACTCCTTTCACGGAATTTCATTTCTCTTCCCATTCCTTTTGTTTAACTAATTGTAACGGAGGGGAACGCAGTGGTTAGTAATGCAGTCCATAAAGAAGCGAGCTGCTGGTTCGACCTTTCCCCAACACTCTTCTCCAATCTACGTGAGAAGGGCTTAACCTGGCTATCTTCAAGATTGCAAAGAGAATTGACTCGACCAGAATTCTACGACATTCATAAAGAAGACGAAATCCTCAAGCACCAGCTAAAGCAACACGTGAAATGTTCGAAAACCACTGTGGTTGACTAATGAGAGGAAGATGAACCAAATGCAAGCGGTGATAGCCACCGCATAGTAGATGTGATAACGGGTCATGTGAAATAAATAGAAAACTAATTACATCCACATTTGCTCTGCTTTACTAATATCTTGCGAAAACGCCGCTTGAAAGCCATGTACGAAAAGATTCTTTGTACAAAGCGAAATCGAAGTCAGATGCAAAAACCTCTTTAAATACAATCAATAGTCTGAGTGAGTAACCGATAACCTAGCATTTTGGAAAAGTTTGTATAAGTTGACAAATCTCTCACTGATGCGTCGAGCATTCGACTAAAAGGTAAATGAATGAGTATTTGACTATAAAGTGAACTAGGAGATCCTACTTATGTCTCATGCCAATGGTTGCTTGCTGTGCGAAACAAGCCTGATAGAAAATTGCCAACCCCGAAGCAATAGAGCTTCATGAGCCCGAGGCGTGGGTGCTAACCAAAGCCTGCATGTACATTGCAAGCTATCTCTAACCATTGTGTTACAAACAGCTTCAGCACTTATCTACCTGCACCTTTAAATCATAGCCCTCAGAATTCACGGCTATAGCTAAAATCTCTTCCTGTGATGTCTCGTTTCCATGATACGTCATTATATTAAAACAAGCTTACTCGCAACGTGATAAATTTCTATTTGATTCAAAATTATAGGCAACATCATTTTGTGACGAACTCGGAAATAGAAGTGCAAGCACAGGTACATCCTTCGCCACGTCCCAAAAACATGTCTTACTAAGGCAGTAACAAAAATATCAAACCAAGCTATTGAAATTTCTGGTAAAAAGGGTAAAGGATAAAGCTTATGGCGTTGGTCAATCCCTTAGGAATACGCCATGTATTCAACTTCATCCAGAGTTGTTAAAGGTGATTGAGTGCCTATCTGGCCTGTACAAAGGTTTATAGTGCCTTATCAGTCAAGTCAGGACTACCATCCTTCTAGGGAAGTGTGGCATCAATTTACCTACCCCGGA